TGAATATTGGAAGTACTTTGCATTCCATTAAGTACATAATGCAAATGAATGAACTAATGAAATAAAAAAAGCCTTTTAAGTGCAGATTGCTCTCCCAGCCTGTATAGGTACTGGATTTGAAAGTTAGCTTTTTAGGTTTTTCTCCAGTATATATATATATATATATATATATATATATATATATATATGCATTTTTGTGTGTGCTTTTACATATGACATTGTTTGTTATTCTTGATGTTTTTGCTGTAAAATCACTTTTAGATATTTTATGGGGAGCAATTCATCAATGGAATCAAATGAATACTTAAATAAATATTCTTTTGCTTATTAATTTCTCTACACTGTTATTCAGGAAGAAGAAAAACAGCAACAGGCTGTGGACCAGGTAGACTGTTTCCTCCAGTTTTGCTTCAGGGGAATTATTCTCTGCTTGTAAAAATCAAGCTTTGGCCTTTTTTTCATCTGCTCTTTCCTGCTTTAAGGGGACCCTAGTCTTGCTCACAATGTATTTATTGACCCTGCCAACATCCCCCTCAAAACTTTTTAGTGCAAACTCAGTGAGGGTGCTTCCAGACTGTCACTATTTTGTGGGTGGGATTCAGCAGCCAAGGGCAAATCCATATTGTGCGATTGAAGCAGATTGGGCATTCTTATAAAAGAAATCAAACTTTTTACAGTAAGGAAAGTGATGGATTTATGTAGGATAACAATTGCATGTTGCAGCATCATACAGCTTCAGAACAAACACTTAGTAAACAATTGATATTGTATAATCTCCCTGCAAACTTTGTGCCAACGAATCAGGGTGAATGCTCAGCATTTGGAAGTGACCCAAGTCTCTAATTAAAGATTTCTCGGTAGTTCGCAAGCAGAAGTGTGGAAAGGGGCAATTACAGTATGACAGTAAAGTAAAATGTGGGGTGAGAAACATCAAAGTAAAATCTTGCTGAACTATTTTTTTTTTTACTATTGAGTCAAGATTCCAAGAGATCAAGCAAGACAGAGTATTAGCAGAATGGAGACCAAGAGCTCTGTATGACAGCAGCCCTTAGTGCTCCAGTTTGCTTCAGGTTATATACGTTTCAGGTTACATATGCTTCAGGTTACAGACTCCACTAACCCAGAAATAGTGCTTCAGGTTAAGAACTTTGCTTCAGGATGAGAACAGAAATCATGCTCCGGCTGCGCAGCGGCAGCAGGAGGCCCCATTAGCCAGTGGCGTAGCGTGGGGGTGCAGGGGGGGCTGGCTGCACCGGGCGCAACATCTGGGGGTTAGGGGGCGCAAATCCACGGGTTAGGGGGCGCAAATTACTTGCCTTGCCCCGGGTGCTGACAACCCACGCTACGCCACTGCCATTAGCTAAAGTGGTGCTTCAGGTTAAGAACAGTTTGAGGTTAAGAACGGACCTCCGGAATGAATTAAGTACTTAACCCGAGGTACCACTGTATAACAAAAGAGAAATTCTATGCATAAGGTGTGTATTTTCACTCCCATTTCCTGCTAGAATAGCCAATGTATGACTCAGAATGACAGACATTCTGCTGGAGAAGAAATTTGGCTGGATCTACACACAGGAAAAAACACACGCTATAAATAAGTCATAAATTAAATCATTATAACAAAAAACCACTATGTAAAATTGCATAGACAAAGGTTTTTTTGCTCTACAGCACCATCTGGTGCCGCATATTTACAATGGAGTTACAACAGCGGTTCTCAACCTGTGGGTCCCCAGATGTTGTTGGACTACAACTCCCATCATCCCTGACCACACTGGTCATGCTGGCTAGGAATGATGGGAGTTGTAGTCCAACAACATCTGGGGACCCACAGGTTGAGAACCACTGAGTTACAACAATATAACTGACTGAGTGTAGCTGAGTCCTTTGTTCCCAGAAATTGCAGCACATAATTTTTAAATGCAGGGGGCTGTCAGAGCTTAACTCTCATCAAAAGCCACATGCACTGAACTGATATTCCCCATGCCTACCCCACATATCTGTACAGGCTAGTTAAATTTATTTAATGGTAAGGAAAAGAAATGCGGGCACATGTTGTGATGCATTCCCCCATTCATTAATGCTTCACATACCACAGATCTGGAAGTAGGGGGTGCAGAAGACATAAGCCAGAGCAGGGATGATACATGGAAACGTTAAAAATAGCAATTGTTCAGTACAGCACTGGTGAAAACAGCAGGGGATTGAGGTTGGTGTGTGCATTGGCTTCCTGTATTGGTTGTCATCTGTGAGTCAGGAAGACGGGCTCGTCTCAAACAGGGATCCTTCCTGACATTTCTACCACCAGCTGCTGTAGAAAACTGCCTTGGTGTGTTAAAACTTGATCCAGGCTAAGTTAGACCACATTCACATCATACATTTAAAACACAGCGATACCACTTTAAAGAGCCATGGCTTTCCTCAAAGGATTCTGGGAGCTGTAGTTTGTTAAACTGCATTCAGAGTTGTTAGGAGGCCCCCGTTCCTCTCACAGAACCCTTACAATTTGCAGAGTTTCCTGGGATGAGGGACTGGTTGTTAAACCACTCTTGGTACTGTTGCTCCTCCTAGCCACTCTTAGCACCCTTAACAAACTACAGATCCCAGAATTCTTTGGGGGAAGTCATGACTGTTCAAAGTGGTATAATGATGTTTTAAAAGTACGGTGTTAATGTGGCCTTAGTTGCATTTATGAATCAGCAGGAGTGAAGTTGTGACTATCTGGTCCCATTAACTTACCGCGCAAGTCTGTTCAGGTCTACTCAAAAGTAAATCCCATTACATTTAAATTGAGATAGTACCAATCTGTCAATTTTGGTTTCTCTCAGTTTCCAAGGTTTTCCCAGTCTTAAATTTCTACCTCAGTTTGCAATTTAAAAGCAAAACAAAAGCTCCACAACACATTTTCTCAGAATGGATATGTTTGTACACATTTCTGCAAAGTGATTTCCCTTAAAATAACACATTTGCATCCCATTTTCAACAATATGTGCATTTTTATGGACACTACCCCAGTATATATGCACCGAGGCTGAATGGACTTTATTTAAAATTATTCCTGGACTGGACCAGGAGTGCTGTTGGTGCAGTGAAAAAAGAATGAATGGCTGCCGGACAGATCTGGTAAAGAGGTTCAAATTGAGACAATATCTTGTTTTTAAATGTGTGCCAAGGAAGAACTACAGAGCAGAATTTTAATGGCGGAGACTGGACATGCACTCTGTGAGTTATTTATGGCCACAGCTCATACACTAGTCGGTAAACAGCGGAAGGAATGGAATCCAACCTTGTACCATCCAGATAAACACTGCAAAGAACTGAACAATGGAATATATTAATTAACTCTAACAGCACACCAGGTCTGGAACAACAAGTTATATGAAGGACTACACACGTGAAACAGATTACTTATTTATAAGATGTAACGGAGCTGCTGTTTGTAAGCTGAAAAAAGTGGCCAGTTGGAAGAATGTTTAACGGCTAGTGAAGGTTGTCAGCTGAACTCTAAATAAGAAATGATGCAGCAATGTGAGGAAATGAAGATGAGCGTATGTTCGGAACAGGAGTGGGAAACTTGATTTTAAGAAATTGCATTAAATTAAATTAATTGGGTTTGATTTGTAATAATTTGGAAAATTAATAAAAAAATAATATGGGAAAGGAATGTCTTTCACAGCCTTCCCTTTGGTTTCATCTGTACATTTATAGACTGGGAAATTGCTGGACAGCATTTTGCATATAGTCAATGTGTTCTTGCATTAGTACTTGGAATTTCATGGATACCAATGTTAACAGAAGTAGTTCATCGTTTGGGGGCTACAGGGAACCAGGCAGAGGGCCGTCTCGGTAGTGGCCCCTGCCCTGTGGAACGCCCTCCCACCAGATGTCAAAGAAATAAACAACTATCTGACATTTAGAAGACAACTGAATGCAGCCCTGTTTAGGGAAGTTTTTAATGTCTGACATTTTAATGTATTTTAATCTTTTGTTGGAAGCCTCCCAGAGTGGCTGAGGAAACCCAGACAGATGAGCGGGGTACAAATATTATTATTGTTATTTTGTTTGGAGGTTGAATGTCCCTAGTTAGTGGAAGTATATCAGTGAGCATCACATGCCAATGGATGAGAGCAACTCAGGATTGTTAAATTCATTTATTTTAGTGTAGCGGAAGATGTAGGACTATGCCTGAGCAAGATTTATTTTAGGGGAAGAGCCTGAAGAACTGCTTCAGATGGAGGTGGCAAGAGGTGAAGTACTGGGGCTTCTTGGCAAAATAAAAGTAACAAGTCATCAGGCATCCATTTGAGAATTTCCAGCCATGGTACTATGATAGTCTCAGATAGGCATTTCATTTCTGTTCTAGCCTATACAGTGGTACCTCGGGTTACAGACGCTTCAGGTTACAGACACTTCAGGTTGCAGACCTTGCTAACCCAGAAATAGTACCTCGGGTTAAGAACTTTACCTCAGGATGAGAACAGAAAGCGTGTGGTGGTGGCACGGCGGCAGTGGGAGGCCCCAATAGCTAAAGTGGTACCTCAGGTTAAGAACAGTTTCAGGTTAAGAACGGACCTCCAGAACGAATTAAGTTCTTAACCCAAGGTACCACTGTACCTACAAGGCCAGAAAGAGAATGTCATGCCCCTTGCCTCAGGGGCCCAGTACTGGCCTGGGGAAGACTCTGGTTCAGATGATAGATAGGCATGATCAAGATCGCACTGTTAAGCCTTTGTCCTTGATGCTATAACTGCCACGCATCCTTTTGTCAGATACAGTCAAATAATCAACACCAGTAGCTTCTAAGCAAGAAATGATAGAGGCTAGCACAAATGAAAGACAACGTAAGCCAACATTTCTCCATGCGATAGGAGGAAGACAAACAAAGGTTTATTGAAAATGCTGATATTTCAGCCCAGTGGCTGAATCACTGTTGAAGTGAAGCGACTCTTTGATTTGAAAAGTTAACATAGGCACCAAAGTACTGAGGCACGGTCAAGAAAGCAGAATATTAGCCCTGAAAATATGTGCAGTGGCATGACAGAATGAAGATTTCTCCCTTCTGACTGGACGGATTGGCTTCGTTTTTTGATGTATTGTTGCCTTAGAGGGTGAGGTGCTGGACTTGTTCCCGAGACGATATGATCTTCCCATCTTTAATCTCCTCTGTGATGGTGCGAATCTTTTTGGTGATCTGGGGGACCGGAGCACAGACTGGAGGGGGACATTCTGGCACACACGGAGCCCTAGGGAACCTGAGGTTGCGAAGAGATTAGGGGTGAAAATGGGAAGGCGAAATTTGGCACAACATGCTTAATCCCGTCAAGCTGCCCTTTGTCTTCCCACTCCTGAAATTTCCCCCATCTTTTCCCAAATAGGAGCAATGGTGGTACCCCTTAATTTCTGAGTCCACACACAGAATAAAAAGGAAGACACTGCTTCCTGTTGCTGCTGAGTTAACTAAGGTCACAACTTTATTGAGTAGAGGAGATCTGCATGCAATTCTGTCAGACTACAATTTGCATTCCGGGTCTTGTTGGACTACAACTCCCATGAACCATCTTGCCTGGGTCTTGGAATCCAATTACATTTCTAGGGCTCACATAATGCTTTAAGTCCAGGCATTGATGAAGGCAAAATGGCAGCCAGGATGCCAGCAGCATTGCTGTCACCACCACTTGCAACAATGGCAATAACAACAAAGAAAAGAGGCTGTGCTATTGCTGCAGGTAATGGCTACCCCACCTTAAAAAAAAAAAAAGTTGCCAAATTTCTCCAGGAGGCATTGGGTGGGGTAGGTGTGTGGAAAGTGGCCACCATGAAAATGGTGGACAATATATGGAGAAAATTCTGGAAAGTGGTCTTCTTTTTCTGAGGTTGTAAGAAAAAAACCAACAACCCAAGAAGTCCTGAGAAATTAGAATGCCTCAGATCTTTTTCCCAAGTGGGAACCCCACATTCACTTTGAAATGACGCTTTAGTTGACATCTTCAGGTGGCAATTTTGATTGATGGTCCAGCGCCCAGGGCCTTCTGGAGGTTCCCTCACTGCGAGAAGCCAAGTTACAGGGAACCAGGCAGAGGGCCTTCTCGGTAGTGGCATCCGCCCTGTGGAACGCCTCCCACCAGATGTCAAAGAGAACAACAACTACCAGACTTTTAGGAAGACATCTGAAAGGCAGCCCTGTTTGGGGAAGCTTTTAATGTTTGATGCATTACTTAGTATTTTAATATTTTGTTGGAAGCTGCCCAGAGTTGCTGGGGAAGCCCAGCCAGATGGGTGGGGTATAAATTGTTGTTGTTGTTGTTGTTGTTAAACACAAAGGCTCAGTATTGTACCCCTGTGGCTGGGCTGTACTATTTCAGACTGCAGGCACGGCCCTATAAAACTAAATGGAATGCTTTCAATACAAATCACATAGCTGCCAGAGTGGGCTGGGGGCAACCCAGTCAGATGGATGGGTACACAATGATATTATTATTATTATTATTATTATTAGTAGTAGTAGTAGTAGTAGTAGTAGTAGTTTTCTATTTGTAGGAAACTTGTTATTTGTTTGTTGGAACAGTCCATCCTGCCACCTGAACTTGTACAGTCCACACACAGATTTACCACCTCAGAGAGAACGTCATAACTTTTAGACCTCACTTTGTCTAATGCTTGATAATAACTAACAAACTAACTAATTAACTAGCTAGCTAACTAATTTATTTATTTATTTATACATACATACATCACCCATCTGGCTGAATTGCCCCAGCCACTCTGGGCAGCTTCCAACACACATAAAAACATAATAAAACATCAAACATTAATAATAACAATATGATCCAATGCAAAAAAGACACAATAACTTTACAATAAGCTACTTATATCAAAATAAAGCAATACTCAATAATTCATTAGAATCTAATAGTAAACAGTAAAAAGAACAACAAGCCTAAGATGGAGTTGTACAAACGCAATGCCCGTTTGAGTTATACATACTTGTAATCTTCTCCTTCCAGCAGACGTCGGTATGTTGTGATCTCTGATTCTAGGCGTGTCTTGACATCCAGGAGAATCTTGTACTCGTGGCTTTGGCGCTCCATGTCGCACCGGAGGTCTCCTAGCTGACCTTCTATGTTGCTGATCAGGCACTGGAGCTGGGCCAGCTGGGTGCTATAGCGGGCCTCCGTTTCTTGCAGGGTGCACTCTAGAGCATTTTTCTGAGAGGGGAATAAGAGAGATAATTTTGGATGGAGAGCAGGGGGGTTTCTCTTCTTTATGCACAGTCAACTGAGCTCATATTTCTAGGCCTCCCCAGGTAATAAGTTTCAAAGAATCATAGGCTTTGAAGAGGCTACGATCCAGTAATGGAAGAAATAAACAAAATGAATATATCCTCTCCGACCTTCCTCAACATTCCCACAAAATTCATGTCAGGTTATTTTTCAAGAAAACTATTCATGTAGACAAGGCATGGAATGTTGCTCCTGCAGGTAGCAGACGGTCATCTGGACTGCACAAGGCAAGATCCTCTCACACCACACCCCACCCCCCAAATATTATCCTCTTGACACACCATGTTATGTTGGGCATCCAGGTCAATCTCAAGGGCTTGGACAGTGTGCCTCAGCTCAATGATCTCTGACTGGCAGGTCTGCAGCTCTTCACCACTGGAGATCACCTGCTGGTTCAGCTCCTCCATCTAAAAGAAGCAGGAAGGTAAAAAGAAGAAGTCAGAGAGGGCATGCACCTCCATTTTAAGGTCAACCACTGGTCCTACATTACCACTTAGAGGCAACTTCTCAGGATACCCACCTTAGAAGTGAACCAAGTCTCAACGTCTCTGCGGTTTTTTTCAGCCAGGCTCTCATACTGACTCCGTATCTCATCCAGGATTTTGTTCAGGTCGCACGACGGGGCAGCATCCACCTCCACATTAACTCTGGCCCCAAGCTTTGAGCGCAGTCCGCTTGCTTCCTGGAGGATGAGAAGGCCCATGTTGCATAATGCACATTTCTGGGTGGTCATTGTTTGATGTGGACCTCTATAGCAAGGAGTAACCCACTGTGCCATCCGCATCCCTCAGAGTACCCAAACCCATGTTTGCCACAAGTAGGGTGGCCTGGTGAAAAAGAGGATCTCCTGCCCCATTAATGATGGGGTAGAAGAGGGAATTTCAGCAGGTGTAGCTTGTTGGACTCTGGAAAATCAGAAGAGGAAAAACTCAGGGAGAGTTTTATAAATGTGGAGCAGGTGAGGGCAGCTTAATCTCTCAATGTGCCCTCAATGCTTCATTTCTGGTCATCTGCTGCTATTATAGAGATATTATCAGTTGATCCTCAGCAACAGGGGTAGCCAATTTGTTGCCATCCAGATATTTTGGGTTGTTGCTCCCATTATCCCTGACTATTGGCTAAACAGGATGGGTTATGTAGTACAAAAAGACCCAGACAGTGCCACGTTGGCCACCCTTCTCAATACCATGATGGCACACCTATGAAAGAAGACCCTCTTTTGCATGTGGAATGCAACTGTGTCTACAACAACACAAGGTGGCATTTTGTCACCTTTTCCCCAGCGAAAGTTTGCTACTACCTCCTCATGGTTCTTCCTGAGACAAATGAGTTCCTCCTTAAGGGATTCAAGCTGAGCTTCCAGGTCTGACCGGCATAAAGTCAATTCATCCAGGATTCGGCGCAGCCCATTGATGTCAGCCTCAACACTCTGGCGAAGAGCCAGCTCTGTCTCGTACCTTTGGAACAGTAAATGTTAAAAACAACAAGCACAAGGTTCTTTTCTATTTCAGCATGGAAAAGAAGAAGCAAGGAGTCGTCATTTGTGGGGAAGGTATGAGGGGCCTTTCCCAGGTTTATAATTTATTTATTTTATTTGACTCAAGCATAGACCACATTTTAAAAAATGAAATTGCAGGAGAAGATGTGGGCTTTCTATTATTTTCAATCACAAGAGTCTTCTATAGTTCCAATATTTAATATTTATACATTTACCTATTTATATTTTGGTGGAATTGCTGCAAATGAGTTATGATTACTTAGTATGCTTTTACTTTATTGGGATTTTTTTCTACAGCTTTTAAGCTTTTATATTAACTTTGTAAATGCAAAAGTTATATTCCTATTAGGAAGCAGTATAATAGGGAGATATTTCATTAAACTGTAACATCCACAATGCAGTAAGGCTGGTATTAAAACACCAGAGGCCCAAGAAAATTTGAAGTCACCTCTCTGCCGCAAGTTCTTGCTCTGAATAAGATGGACTTACTTGGTCCTGAAGTCGTCAGCAGCTAGGCGAGCATTGTCAATTTCCAAGACCAGCCTGGCATTGTCTGTCTTGGCGCACAAGATCTGGAGAACAAATTGCGGAGCTGTGAATTGCTTTTAAAGTTGCGAAAAAAGCAGGGGGCTACAAAGTTAGGGGGAGAAAATCAGAGTGACTTCTCCAGAAGGGCTGGGGCTGGAACATTATTAAAACTAGCAATAGACGAGTGGAGTTCTTACGAATGCTGTTTTTTAAAAAAACTACCAACTTCTCCCCACACCCCAGATTTGGCCAACCAAAATGAACAGGTGGCTGGGGCAGGTTATAATGTTTGAGGCTTTTTAGCTTAGATAAACAGTAAGGTGGGAGCATGAGAGAGGTGTGTAACATGGCATAAAGGATGTGGATAGGATGATACTTTCCTCAGCATCTTATAATCCTAGAGCTCCAGGCCATTCAATGGATGGTGTAAGAAATAGAACAGACGAAACAAAGGACCTTTTCCTGCACAGACAGGACATAGCGGAACCAAGCAACTTGCTACCACAAGATGTAAGAATGGGGGTGCCAATTTGAATGGCTTTAAAAGAGGATTAGGGACGTGGGTGGCGCTGTGGGTTAGGCCACAGAGCCTGGGACTTGCCAATCAGGTCGGCGGTTCAAATCCCCACGACGGGGTAAGCTCCCGTTGCTCGGTCCCTGCTCGTGCCCACCTAGAAGTTCGAAAGCACATCAAAGTGCAAGTAGATAAATAGGTACCACTCCAGCGGGAAGGTAAACGGCATTTCCGTGTGCTGCTCTGGTTCACCAGAAGCGGCTTAGTCATGCTGGCCACATGACCCGGAAGCTGTATGCCGGCTCCCTCGACCAATAAAGCGAGATGAGCGCCGCAACCCCAGAGTCGGCCACGACTGGACCTAATGGTCAGGGGTCCCTTTACCTAAAAGGGGATTAGACAACATTGTGGAGAATAAGGCTGTCCCTAATTAATACAGGTGGTGGAATGGGTCAGTGCATCTGGCTGCTAACCAAAAGGTTAGTGGTTCGAGCCCACCCAGGGATGGCTGTGGGCAGGATTCCTGCACTGCATGCAAAATATTCACAACAACCGTTACCTGGTGCTGGAGTTCCTCGATGATCTTGTAATAAGATTGAAAGTCGATGCAGACGTAGGGGACTTGACATTCATACCACTCCCGGATCTTGCATTCCAGGTTGGCGTTTTCCTGCTCCAGGCAGCGCACTCTCTCCAGGTAACTGGCCAGGCGGTCATTCAAGCACTGCATCAGCTCCTTTTCATTGCAACTCAGGATCCCTTCATCGTGCCAGCCGTAGCTTCCAAGAAACCCAGGCCCAGGTGAGCAAATGCTCCCAGCTCCCAGCTTCATGGAAGAGGTGGAGATGCTCCTGCTGCCAAAGGCCAGGCTTGGTGCTCTGCATGAGCCAGTGGAATGGACGGAAGACATCCGAGTGAGACCCCCACCCTTGACAGACCCAGAAGATATGGTCTGAGCATAGTACTTGGAAGCCATGGCACCAGCTGGGAAGCCAAAACCTGGGTCACTTGAGCAGATCTGCGCAGCTTAGATAGCCTCAAATTTGCAAGGAAGTGAAGCTGTCATTCCCCACTAGTGGGTTTTTATACTACACATCTTGGGTGTTGCCAAGCCGGTTTCTCTTGGGAAAGTTTGTGCCAGCTTTCCTCTCTGCATCTCACAGCCTGTGGTTTAACTGCCCATCAGGAGGCATCTTTCCTATAAAAAAAAACCCCAAACAGCTTAGATAAGTCAGGACTCATCATTAGCAATTCCTCACCATTTACAATGTTCATTTTATAGCATCATCAAAGAGATCTTTCATCACCATTAAGCAGCAGTCGTCATTAATGGAGCGTGGGGATCCCAGGTAGCAACTGGTGTGAGAGAAGTTACACTTTTGGGTGTCTTTCTGGATTCTTACAACGACAGTTCAGTTGTAAGCATGTCTACTAAAAATAATAATAAAATGCCCCATTCAACTCAGTGACTTACTTCCTAATGAATGCCGCCTGAAGAATTAGAGATTCTCCCAACAGCTTCTCCCTGCAATAAGACCACAACGGGCACCTTTCTATCAACCCTGCCCTCCCCTGTTCATAGAATGATGTGGACTGGTATTGTGGAGGTATGGCAACATGGAAACACTCATCGTTGAGAAGTGATCCACAATGGGCCATCACAATGATCCACAATGGATCACAACAGGAACATCTACTTCTGATATAAGACATTCAGAGATTCAACAATTAAACGGTGTACAACGTTTAAAAATAAATGAAATAAACTGATACTGAAGACTTGTGAACTTGAACAGTTGCCTTCTTTAAGACCAGGCGTAGGCAAACTCCAGCCTTCCAGTTGTTTGGGACTACAATTCTCATCATCCCTGACCACTGGTCCTGTAAGCTAGGGATGATGGGAATTGTAGTTCCAAACATCTGGAGGGCTGAAGTTTGCCTATGCCTGTTTAAGACCATGAGAAAACAAGAAGAACCCTATTGGATCAGCCAAAGGACCATCTTGTCCACATCCTCTTCTCATAATGGTCAACCAGATGCTTATGCAAGACCTAGGTGCAACAACATTCTCCCCACCTGTGATTCACAGCAACCAGCATTCAGAGGCATACACCCTCCAACAGTGAAGGGAGAACATAGCCGTCATGACTAGTAGCCATTGCTAACTTTGTCCTCCATGAGTTTGGTCTAATCCAAGTTGGTGGCCATCATTCCATTTTGAAGGAACAAATCCCACAGTTTAACTGTGCTGGGTGGAGAAGCATTTTCTTTGGGTCTGCCCTGAATCTTCCAACATTCAGCTTCATGTATGTCTCCAAGTTGTGGGAGAAAAAATGCCTGTCTATCCAATTTCTCCACACTACACACAATCTTATGCACTACTTGACTTTATCTATACTAAAAAGCCCTGAATCTTGTAACCTTTCATTCAATTTGTCTCACATTTAAGGGCGAATCTGCCTAATCCAGAGGTCAGCAACCTTTTCCAGCCATGGGCCGGTCCACCGTCCCTCAGACCATGTGGTGGGCTGGACTATATTTTGAAGGGGGGGGGATGAACGAATTCCTATGCCCCACAAATAACCCAGAGATGCATTTTAAATAAAAGGACACATTCTACTCATGTAAAAACACGCTGCTTCCCGAACCGTCCGCTGGCTGGATTGAGAAAGCGATTGGGCTGCATCCAGCCCTCAGGCCTTAGGTTGTCTACCCCTGGCCTAATCCATGCCTTCCAGAACAAGATGCAAACCAAAATGCAAGCATCCTTTGATATCTGCACTTCACCGAATTTTGCAATGCCACATAATGTGTACAAAAATGCACACACTACTGCACAAGTGTGCACATACAAAGTTGCAAAGATACATTATTTTAGGGGAAACTGCTTTGCAACAAGGTGTATGTTGAGGAAAGTTGCATACAAAAATGTGTATATTATGAGAAATTCACACTATAACGTGGATGAATTTTCATTAGGATTCTTTTCATAAAATTTCAAACTGATGAGGAAATGAGCTTAAGATTGGAAAAATCAGCAATGAAGAGAAACCAAACTGGACATCTTTGCCCATCCCTACTTGCAAGTCTAATAAATACACCAAGGGTGTGGGAAAAGGCAGACAATTGATGCTGGCAAAACTGGCCTTTGTAGAAATGTTTTATATGCTTCTCCTGTTAAAGATTTCAGAAGTGTCTTACATCTTTATAAGCTTCTCTCTTGAACTGCAGAGGTGCACCTGTCTGACAGGTGGGGTGTTTATATACCTTTTAATAGCTTAACAGTATAAGCCTAGCACTGTCTACTCGGGAGTAAGTCCCATTGGTTTCCGTGTGGGGCTTACTCCCAGATAAGTGAGCTTAGAATGGTGTTCTAAAGCATAATATATCACTTTATTTCACAATATTACTCATCAAGAATTTACATTAGCCAAGCAGGCAATCTTTATTTAAGAGAATGAAGGGGTGCAGGTCTGCATTCACCAAACTTCTATTCAGAGTAAACTAATTGAAATTAGTGACTCTGAGTTAGTAATGATAATTAACTTCAGTGGGTCTTTTCTGAGTAGGCTAGCATTGGATACAACCCACAAATTTCACATTTAAAAAGAGGGATGTACAGAAATTAATGGAAGAACAGAAATTAATGCTCTAGCAAATGAGCATGTTTAGCTTCCTGTCTCCCAGCCAGCTGTCAGATTATATTCCTTACAAACAGATCAGTCTATTTATCAGCCACCATAAATCTGTTCAGTCCCATTTCCACATTAATTTTTTTAAAGAAAATGCTTTAAAATTGTACTTAAATTTTGCTTATATACTTATTTGCACACACCCCCGAAAATACATTTATGTGTATTTCATTCAATGATACACAATTTTAAGTGGAATTTTATGCCTTTTTGAGCTGAAAACAGCAACGGAAAATATGGAGAATTGCAAAAAATCAAAGGATAACTACCTTCCAACCTGCACATTGGTCCATGGCCTACAGATAAGGTCACTTTGAATCTGAATCCACAAAGAGATAATTCCTCAAGCAGCTCTTGTTCTTTGTCTCCTTCATGTTCACAGTTCTCACCTTGTCCATTGGCTTTATTCCCTTCTGTGCCTCAAGCTGTAATTTATCTTCTGGACTGTATAAACTTATTGATGCACTTTCCTTTACAAACCAGGAGAGCTCAACACCATATTCAACATGAGATCTTTTTAATGCAACTTTGTTGATCAGCAGTTTGGCCGCTTTTTGTGACTGCATCATATTGAGCAGCTGGGAGCGTTTTAATCAACATTTGATCCAAATGCAAGCCCAAATTTGTGGAGGTTTTTTTTAACAAAAAAGGGAAAAAAGATCTGTTCTTAGTGAAGAGTCTGGACACATCACTTAGTCCCCAAACTAGGGACCCACTGAGCATTTCTATGGGTTGATTACAAAAACGTCAAACAGCAGTCTTAAATAATAGAAACCCATGTTGTCCTCTAATTGCATCCATAGAATGGTTTATCACCAGTTTGGCTGTATTCCAAATATCCACGTCATCCGCATCTGTAAGAACAACATCATCCAGCAATAATTTTGTTGCCGCCTTGATTATTGCAGCCATTCACAACATCTTCGAGTGACAACCACCAGTTTACTTGAGAAATAGGGTACCACATTTTCATAGAAAGAAAGGCAACTGTATCCTGGTTCAGAGAAGCAACAGGAATTCACCCATAATTTGCCATCCATTGTGTTTAGGTTCTGGCAGCACACTTTGCTCTTCAACTCCATTGTTGTCGTTCCCCCAAAAAGGTCTCAATTTTCCTCTACTGACATCAGCTCTGTGTTTTCATTGTCAGTCGTCTTCCTCTTAAGACACCTTGAGAGAATATGCTCCTTTCCCCCTCGACACTCTTGTCCTCGACTTTCATTTGTTGTCCCTCCTGCTATTAAGTGTCATTTGAATTGGTGGCTGTATAATTTAGATCAGTAAGTGATTTTTTATGACATTCCCCATAAAGGGCGATATGCATTGGGTCGTGTGTGCTGACTCAGGAGTAGCAGCTGAGCTGATGCAGGTAATTTTTACAAGTGATAATGATGAGCCTCTGAAAGCCCCTTGCTTTGTCTTACCTGGCTGCTGGAATGCAGATTGGATAACATACTATTATTTTTTATTAGCTTGCCAACACTCATATTTAATACCTGAGAATGCGCCAAGCTTCCATGAACAGGCGCTAACATACCTGAATCATTAAGATTTTGTAATAATGTCCTTATAAAAGATTGAAGGCTGCAACCCCTCCTTTCAGTTCATATGTGGAGCTTGTCATTTTCATTTGTTTTATCTGAGCAGTCAGCTGCTGTTAACTCCTTGAATTGGGCCTTACCTGGGTTGTGTCTAAAAGTGAAGCATCACCATCATCGCTCCACACTCAAAACCTAGTTTTGCATATTTGTTATCTTTCGATTATTTGTTATACTGTTGGTTTCTTGGTGACTCTTCCATTGGCAACGATTCCAAGGCAGCATGAATCAGCCAAGAAAACAAAGATTATGCATGCCCACATTTGAGAGACAGTGCGGTGTAGTGGTTAGTGTCAGACTAGGACCAGGGTTTGGAATGATGTTGTCCTTCAGCTTCAGTGTCCAACACTGCCACCTAAGGAAGCTCCTGCAGCCAATCGGAAGCTGCAGAAGCTGCGGCGGACGTTCGGGTTCCAAAAGAACGTTTGCAAACCAGAACACTCAATTCCAGGTTTGTGGCATTTGGGAGCCGAAACGTTCAAGTGCCAAGGCATTCGGCTTCCAAGGTACGACTGTATTTGGTAGACAGCCTTTATGTTGCTCTGGCTTTTCAACTAGTCTGGAGAATAATAATAATAATAATAATAATAATAATAATAATAATAATAATATCAGCCATGTGGCACAGCCATTGCTGTGATTCAGAATTACACAGAGGCATGGCAATGAAAAAGCTGCTGACCTGT